GAGCCTTCCTCAGGAGTTGAGTCGTTACATTGGAAAGAATGAGGAGGATACACTTTTCCCTTCAAAGGCTAGCCTCTCAAGGAATCTGCACAACAATGTCCTAACCCCAGACATGATCCCAGAGTTCTGTCTGCCTCCACGGCTTCGCAGGCAAAGCCCACTGCTAGAAGCTGAGGAAAAGCCACTGTTTGTATTCGGTCAGAACCAGATTCCTAAGAGTAGGCAGATTTCAGACACGCATGTAAAGACAAAGGATGTGAAGACAAAAAATGGTGACACATCAATGGCCTGGAAAGCTACAAAGAAGCCTTTGCCATTCTCTGCAGAGAGCTACGGCCTGGGTGGAATTTATGAGAGCCCCAACACTCGGAGGAAAGAGTCTTTGTTCCACTCAAAACGCCCTGTTTACCTGCTTGATAGAAATATGCCTACTGCAGCACCAAGACTGGGAAAAGAGACTAATCTTCCCCAGAAAACTTTATCTGGATTCCTTCCGGTGTTTTTATGCAAGAGTATGTCTGAGACAGAAAGCGAGACACCTTCTTCCAGTGACTCTTCTCCCCTCAGTTCACCTTATTGTGTCAAATCCTCCCTTTATGTCTCATCAAGCAGTGGCCGCCTTAAAGGTACAGTATCTTGCCCTTCATTAATTGACAGTAAGGCGGGCAGGAGGAAGTGGAAGAGAGGGGATTTAACAGCCTCACTCAGCAACCCATCAAGCTTAGAGGAAAACTCAGCCAACCTAACTCCACCAGCCCTCCTCCCGATGGATGCTCTGCAGTGCCAGGAAAGACTTCAGCGGGAGCATGTCCTCCCATTGCAGGGCCATGGCAGAGTGCGCCTTTCCGCTGAGCACACCAAATTCTCCGGCAGGTCGTCGTCATCCTTATCCACAGTCCGAGTACGTGTGGTGTCTGTGGAAGGCCTGTGGAGTGATACTGACCGACAGACACTGAACTGTGCAGTGAGTCTGTGTCTGACTCCCGGGAAGCTGCAACAGCAGGAGAGTGCCACCATCAGGAACTGCCGGAGCCCAGTTTTCAATGAAGATTTCTACTTCACAGAGCTGAGTCAGAAAGATCTAATGGAAATGCAGCTTAGGTTGAAAGTAGTACATAAAGCTGCAGCTGGAACTCTGAGAAGGGGGAAAGTGATGGGAGTGATCACCAAACCTCTGTCTCAGCTGCTTATTTGAAATAAACAGGCAGAAAAATAGTTTTTTGTATCACAGTATGAAAACTGCATGTGTTGTATATTACATGTGATAAAATTATGATGTCTTAAAACTATTAAAATGTTGATCTCCTCCATACCTGCTTCATGCCCTGGTGGACGGGGCTGTGGCCCCCCCACGCCCTCTAGCAGAGCATTACATGAAGGAACCTTTTAAAAACAAGCGCGTTCATGCTCACAGGTGTACACACGGGTGATCACACACAAACTACACCCTTTTTGGCTCCTACCTCAAAGCACACTGTGCGCTGTCGATCTTACGTGCTGCACAATAATGTTTAATATTTAGTATTTACTGTTATATTCCCATATATCATCGTGATGTTGTTTATTCTATTGCTCTCGTTTTCTTCTGCTTGTTTTCTTTTTTAATTCTCAACAGGTGAAATTAAAAAACAAAAACAAAAAAACAGTAACATGTAATATTTAGTATCTACTGTTATCTACTGTTAGCTAGTTTATTGTGATGGTGTTGGTTTTATTATGTTGCTCTTTGTTGTTTGTTTTATCTTCTGTTTTTTTTATCTCCATACAGCTGATCCAGGTGTTTTGTTTGTTTGTTTTTTCTTCCCCCCTTTCTCACCATCTCTTCTCCCATCTATTTTTCTTTCGCTCCCTCTCTTTCTTTCATTCTTTCTCCCTGTCCTATTCCCCAGTCATGTCTGTCCCATCTTTAAAAAATGAAAATAAAATAAATACATAATTATAATAAAGGTCAATCAAATGGACCAATATGGCAAGGCCATGATGATCCACTTGGTAAAGTAAATCCACTTGGCATCTTTCTTGGCCTTCAGACAACAATTCTGATGGCTAAAGATCCAAACGGGACAGGCAAAAAAACCCCAAAAAACCTCCAAAAACCTATTAAAATGTGTAAAAAGGAAAATGTTGAAAAGGGAGGCAACCAGTGAGCAAATATGTTAGTTAGCAATGAGCTCTTGAGCATAGTAAGGCATTTAGCTGTTAAGCAGATATTTCTCTCAGCAGAGCTTTGAGTTTAGAGCACACTTACTGTACTTTTGTCAGATGGTCACAATATGTGCCTGCACTGAATGTTAATGTTGCTGTTTAAGATGTACAAATAGGCAGCTGTTTGGTAATGTTCAGCATAAAACTGTCAGCTCTTCTGTTTCTCTGCTGAACCATATCCAAATACGCTCTCTTCTGTTTATCTCTGTCATGCTACTCTATTGTACGGCCCTGTTATGCCATTTATATTAAACACTGTACTGAGTGATGAAGTCTGAACTGTAGAGGTTTGTAAATATGACTTGTGCCCAGAACTTTGAACTCAGCAGTTAGAAATCTTAGAGGATACAAATCAGACCACATAAAACCAGTCTCAGTCCCAGTCTTCCTCGTACTAATGTTTCTTCTGCTGACACAATTAAATTACCTGAATAAATCAGTTAAGTGATTAAATTTGATTCCAAAAGCGATTTCTTTTATTCATTTATTACAATTTCACATTCGTAAAGCCAAAAAAATATGACCCTTGACCTTAAAAAAACAACTTAGAAACGTGGAAACTTAACTTAAAAAGTCAGATTTACTTCTATAATCTTACGAGCGTGAATGATACAAAATATAAAACTAAAGGAACTAGGAAAGTCTGGCTACAAGGAAACACATAACAAGAGAGCACACAGCAAGATGGGAAAATGTAGATATTAAATAATGAGGTAACGAGACACAGCGGAGACACATGGGGAACAGAGCCAAACAGAAACTGACTGAGACAGCAGGAAGCAAAACTCAACATAATGCACACAAGATGAGAGACATCGTGGGCATCGTGGCGATCGTGGCTCAAGAGTTGGGAGTTCGCCTTGTAATCGGAAGGTTGCTGGTTCGAGCCCCGGCTTGGACAGTCTCGGTCGTTGTGTCCTTGGGCAAGACGCTTCACCCGTTCCCTACTGGTGGTGGTCAGAGGGCCCGGTGGCGCCAGTGTCCGGCAGCCTCGCCTCTGTCAGTGCGCCCCAGGGTGGCTGTGGCTACAATGTAGCTTGCCATCACGTGTGTGTGAATGGGTGGATGACTGGATATGTAAAGCGCTTTGGGGTCCTTAAGGACTAGTAAGGCGCAATATAAATACAGGCCATTTACCATTTACCATTCAAAACAGAACAGGAAACATAACGCTGAGGAAGAGACACGGACATGTGAGCTTGATACAGACAAAAGGCTAAACAGACACAGAAACATGACTGACCAGGGGAGACAAGAATAACTTGACACAACTAAATGGGGAGACCAGACAACCACAGAGACAGAGCACAGACAGAGTTGACAGATACGAGGACACGACTGGGGAAACGTATATGTATCACAGAATCTAGTGGGCTAGCAGAATCTAAAGAAAGACTAAAATCTAAGAAACATAGACAATAAAACTCAGAAGCACTAGGAAATACCGTAAACAAAGATTTACATATAGAACCCGAATATAATACACCTCTGATACTCAAGAGTACATCATAAAGTCCAGAACCACTCAAAACCATAACAATATGTGTGGGAGCTGGATAGTGTAGTGGTAAGACTACACACCTTTGCAGTGGGAGTCGCAAGTTCTTGTATCCAGTAACATGAGTAGTATGGCTAGATCCCCCATGCTAAAACCAAGCCCTGGAGTGGCACGTCTGCAGCGCGGACACAAGCATTTCACTACATGTTGTACTCTGTATGATTGTGTATGTGACAAATAAAGGTTGTTTGTTAATATCTATTGAAATTACTCAATACAAGTTAATACTGTGAAACTCATGATCATAATTTCAAAAACAGCCATAAAGACTGAAGCAGCAGTTGCCTGAGCTCATATAATAGCAACTAAACGTTATTGCAAGCCTTCATTTGGAGTGATATCAGTTTTATCCAAAAGCTCAACAACATCTACATGAAACAGCATTAGACTTTGTTGCATGTTGGAGTCAGCGAGACTGTGAGATAAGTGAACCATTTTGAGGAAGCCAGGGAATTTCAGGCTTATGACATAGCGTTTCAAAATATCACACTGACACTCTTTCTTAAAATCTAGCATATATGTTTCGGTGGATTTTAATGCTTTTAAACACACTACTATCATGACTACACAACTAAGGTAATGGTATTATAGTTGTATAAGCACAGAGGAGTTTGGACACATTTAAACTTTTCAATTATCAAAATAATGACATTATATGTAATTATTCTGGTGTGCTGGGATGATCCTCTGATGTGCCTAGGTCAGGTTAACAGGTTAATTTTAGAGCTAGGTGCTTTGTTCTTGTAGAGGAGTCTGTCTGTGTAGCAGAACGTAGGCAAGAAGATGTAATGGGTGTGATGTAATCCATCCTTCCATTCATCCACTGTCTTGCGCTTATCCAAATCAGGGTTGCAAGTGGTAAACCCTACACAGGTTGCTACTTTGTTTCAAGGCTAACACAGACACTCACATTTACACTTATTAGAACCATTTCAGGCACACGCATTAACCTCATCCCGTGTATGTCTTTGAATTGTGTAAGGAAGCCTAAATACCTGGAAAAAACCTCTAAGCATCCCATGGAAAGGCCCCAGCAAGGGTTGGATTCAGACTCCAGGACCTTCTAGGTGTAAGACAACTGTGCTGTGCAGCTCAGGGCAGTGACTACGCTACTCACAGCCAATTTCCCAAGTATGGGTGTAGTTTATTATTATCCCATTAAATAACGGCTTTGACATTTCTTAGTACTGTTTCCTGAAGTAGCTGTTACAGGTGACGTCAAGCACCGCCCACCCCCGGAAGACGTCCTAATCTGACGCTAAACCTGAACGAGTTCTCGTCGGGATGTAAACATGGTGATAGGCAGATGAGAGAAACGCCACAATGGTCTTCGAAAGCGTGGTTGTAGATGTCCTCAACCGATTTTTAGGGGACTACGTTGTCAACCTTGACAGCTCGCAGCTAAAGCTCGGCATATGGGGAGGTAACTGAACTTGTGTTTGTCATTTTACTTGGTTAGCTCGCTCTCTAAGCTAGCTAGCTAAATGCTAACGTACGCTAGCCACCAGGCGTATGACACTAACAGCTGAGGAAGCTGTTAGTGTCACTTTATGCGTCCCCAAACCAGTTTAAACTGTTCACCGTGAACGAGACGGTGCAGTCAAATGTTGACATCGAGATATATTGAAACACAGCGTTATTTCCGACTGTTCCAGTCATCTTTTTTTTTTATTATCTTATTTGCTCCCGCAAGTCTGTTTGAGCACTGCATGCATACGAGCGTCTGGGAATCATGCATTTCGAGGTCACACCCTTTTACACAGCCAGGTTATGACTCGGTACTGTGCTTCATACTAAGTACCCACTCGTTCCAAGAAATCTTTGGCATTGTACACAAATATGAGTATTTGAAAATTGGCTTTAGCCGCTGAACCTGGATCAATTTTTAAAACTAGTAACTAAGTCAAACCATTAAGTACTTTGTTTTACCAAACTTTATCTTAATACCAGCTTCTCTAATCAACAAATGTATAAAAACGAGTTGTCTTTCATAGACTGTTTTACATGAGTAGTATGTCTATGAATAATGTGTTACGATTGATTTGAATTATTGGAGCTCTATGGTGCGAGTTGCATTAAGTCAAAAGTCCTGAAACCTCTTTAATTAGATTGAGTTTCTATATGAGCTACACTTTACCCAAATGGTAAGCCATAATGCTGTTACCATAGTAACAACGTTTTCCTGGCCCTCTAGGTGATGCTGTGCTTAATAATCTTGAAATAAAGGAAAATGCCTTGGTAAGTTGCAGTTAAGTGTGTGAGTAAACAGCATTAGTTATTACATCCTGGCATTCACAGATATGTGTTTATTTATTATTCATTGTGCTTTGTTGCAGAGCCAACTTGATATTCCTTTTAAAGTGAAGGCTGGTCATATAGGTAAGACTTACTCTTACTCTGGCTCATACTGACCATAATTGTTTAGTTTAGTACCTTTGTACAGAAGAACCTTTTCTTACTTGGGTGTTTTTGTGATTAGGGCGTCTCCAACTGAAGATACCATGGAAGAACCTATACACACAATCCGTGGAGGCCACGTTGGATGGTGTCTACCTGCTTATAGTTCCCACAGCAAGTAAGATGATTTAATATGTGCATCAAAATAAACAAATTTGATCCAAGTATTCACAGTAGGCATTACAGTGTATAAAATGAATGAAAAACCACATTTAGTAGACACACAGTAGCTGAATATTGTTGGACACCTTTGGTAAGCTGAGTAAGCCACTTGTTTTAATATGTTTTAAAGATTCAAAAATACATTAAAATAATTTAATTCTATTAAAGTAAAAGTATTTATCAAATATAATAATACAGAAAGATGCACATTTTTTCTGGTGCTATTTCTTTCAGGCATAAAGTATGATGCAGAAAAGGAGGAGAAGCAGTTTCAGGAGGCTCGCCAGAGGGAACTACAGCGGATAGAGCAGACAAAGCTGAAGGCTGCTGAGCAAGGTCAGGGTGTATCTTTATTTTATTTTTTAAGGTTTTTTTGTAAACACGTTACTATAGCAAAGCTCCTCGGTGTGTATCTGTTTGTATGGCAGTGTTTCCTGTAGGTTTTGTATGAAAACAGCCTTTGTCATGGTCAACAGGTTCTTAGAGAAAAAACTCCAAATGTTGATATTTCCTGTTGGCTCTCATCTGCTGCTCTCTGGCTGTGTAAACATAAGTCATGCGCTCCAGTGCGTGAGCCAGTGGGCAGTAGAACATTTGGTGTTGACTTTGCATAGACAAACAAGCAATATCAAAATTTATAAAATATGTCGTATAGTCACACACACAGATTTAATGTCATATGGTCATGGTTTGTATGGCTGCGAGTTCCTGTGCAGCCAGCGTTTTTCACGCTTTTTCTGTTATGTGTGGTTTAGCACTTGAGTATCACACCACTTCAGCAGTTGTCTTTCCTTGTAGTGGTAGACTGCTGTGTTGATGTATTTTGGGACAGCCTGGTTTTGTCATTTCAACAATATACATTTGCCATTAGCTAGAAAAAAAATCTATCCTTGATAATTGACTTAATAATTGACCACTCATCTTGGACATGAATATCAGGGTATATTTGGGCTCTTAATTATGTCTTTGAATTGGTATTTTTCCAGATTTGTACAACATACATATTTGATGAGTTTAAAAAGAAATGGCATTCATTCCATGCCTATGATGAGTGTGTAAACTCCTCACCACAAGTGTATCTGCCTATCTACAAGCTATTCTTTTTATAACACTATGTCCTCTTTCAAGGTGAAAAGTGTTGTATCTTAGTTTCTGCTGTAAATTTGCCATTTACAGCATGTAGGTGAAAATACAGTATTGTATTGTATTTCTAAATTTAAATAAAAATGTGTACTATTTTTTTTTCTTTTTTAAAACGTTTTGAGATGCAACTTTATTAACAGCAATGTGATTCACTGACATTCTTATGTAAGCTAATATTTTCTTACTTGCTAAAAAAGGAAAGGTCAGAAATAATCATTAAAATATTGAAAGTAAAATTTAGTTATCTGTAAAGTTCATCAGGCAGTCATGAGAGCTAAGGCCAATTATACAGAAATACACAGTGAATGTGTATCGAAGGTCCTTTAGAGAAAATCTTCAGGAATTTTTGGGACCTGCTGGAGCCTCAAAACCTAAATCGTTTGCATTTTACAGAGAATCCCAAGCTTGAGAAACAGGACACTTTTACGGAAAAGCTTGTGACTCAGGTCATTAAAAACCTGCAAGTCAAAATCTCTAACATCCACGTGCGCTATGAAGATCATGTGAGTATTCAAGCTGAGTTACCATAATAATGTACAATTTTATCTATGGTCCTGCAAGTTTATACATGTTTCCACTTTAAATGAACTAAACACTGTTTCTAGAGCACTTTACAATAGAATAACTGATTTTTTTTTTTTTTTTGTCTTAACCACACCATAAGGCTTAGCTCTTTATTTTCCTCCTTTTTTTGTTAATGACAGGTAACAAATCCAAACTGCCCTTTGTCATTTGGAGTGTCACTGAAAAACCTCAGCCTTCAGGTGATGTGTCTTTCCTGTCAAATTCTATGCTATTTTACATTTAGATATTAAGCTTTTAATGAACCTCACTGCTTGTTTGACCGTACAGACAGCTGACGCGAAGTGGAGACCCAGTCTTTTAGATGAGAAGTCCAAGTTTTTCTTCAAGGTAAGAAATCCAACCATGTTATCTACCTTGTTTACCACCACTGTACAGGTGGTATGGAAGGTAGGTAGGTGTTTTTAATAAAAAATACCACCTACACGTTTAATAGCATTTGTTTTTGGCTTTAAAGTAGTTTTCTGAAGTTAAAGACTAACTCTTGGAAAACTTCATTGATTTTTCTTTCAGCAGTGTTATTTCCTCATAATTTTGGAGCATAATCAAAACTTTAAGAAGTCCTTGTCAAACACTGTCAGCTTTTTTTCTTGTAATCGCAAACAGCTTCATCACTAATTGCTTTATCTTTCTTGTTTTCTCAGCTGGTACAACTAGATAACCTGTTTGCCTACTGGAATGTTAACTCAGTACTTTTCTCCAGTCACACTTCAGATCGGGCCCTGGTGAGTCACTGTATTATTAACGTATTAATATGTACTTGGAATTAGCCATCTCCTATTTTCCTGGAAGACACAATGCTAGTGTTATGTTGTGATCACACAGGGCACAGATCTTCGGTTACACAGGAGTTATGTAAAGGTGTTTCATTTAGCACTATGTCATACACATGATATAGTAGTGGGTTTCTTCCATACATTATAGTTAAATCAAAACAAAAAAGAAATCAAATATGTTAGGAGGCCAAGAAATTAGCAAAGCAAAAAAACAGTATGTAAATAAATCTTCACTTCCTCTGCGTTCTTACAGCAACATCTCCAGAGCAGCATGGACGTCCACTCCTCTCACGACTTCAGTGAGTGTCATTCTTGTGGAACTAAGTTCAAAGCACATTACATAACGTCTATGAAAAATTTTGCAGACAGAAAGTGATGAAGAAATGGTTTGTGATGATATGCAATGCCACTGCAGCACCAACCCCCCCCCGGGTGATTCACAGAGTTTGATTCACCACCACTGAGTCACGAGACCAGATTTTCAGCACATCTCAACAGATTTTGTTTTCAGTTTCACTTTAAGGCAACAGCTTACATATTTTTGAACTGATAACAATGGTAAAGTTTTTTAAGTTCTTTATAAATGGATGCAAATTTGCCATGTGCATCACAAAAGGTAGTGAATCCATTTTAATGCTCACATTTGCAATTCTTAAATCATCTTAATTCCTTTTGCTGTTCCACAGTTTTTCGCCCCATTTCAGCTGATGCAAAACTGCGGATGAATCCCAGGTCAGATGTGGATTTCTCCTCCCCTAAAGTGGACCTGATGGTCAATCTCAGAGAGGTGGCAATTGAACTCAACAAAGCCCAGGTGTGTGTGTGTGTGTGTGTGATAGAGATGTTTAAACTTGTATGTGTTAAAGTTTCATTAAAATAGAATATTATAAGAAAGAGAGAGCTAAAGAGGGTTGTTAAGGATAAACTACATAAACAATGTCAGATAATAACTGCACTAGAGTACTTTGTGATGATGTAATTGCTGACTTCCTGTTATTCCAGTACATTAGCATCTTGGAGCTGCTGTGCTCAGTGGATATGATGTCACGTAATCTGCCATACAGGAAGTACAGACCCGAGGTCCATGTTCACAAGAATGCCAAAATATGGTCAGAAGACACTGTCACATATTTATCACATCATTTCCTCTGTCCTGTGTTTCTGTAATCTTTTTTCAAAAACTGGATCCCATATGTACATGTCATTTACCACATTACATTCAGTCCACTTAGTATTACAAATTGTTACATTGATTCCCTGATTTCCAGGTGGAAGTATGTGATCACAGGCGTCTTGGAGATAGATGTGAAGCCAGGTCTCCACATGTGGTCATGGCAACACATTCGCCGACACCGGCAGATGGTAAAAAGCTACAGAGAGCTCTACAAGACAAAGATCACCAGCAAGAAACCCAGCGATGAGGTTCTCAAAGACTTAGAGGTGGGGTGGAACTAAACTGAACAGGGGAGAGGGAAAAGGGAAAAAGGAAATAAACAGAGAGACTATGGGACTGTTTGCCTTTCTAGTCTATGTTTTCACATTATTGTCTTAAGACTAAAACATTTGAATTATTATAATTATTATAATTTTTTATATTTCCCTGCTGCATATAAACAGTTTAGACAGGTGAAAGTTTTGAGTTTAATTTGATATACTAATATTACCAGTAATTCTGTTTTAATATACATTTCATACCTGTTGTCACTGTTATAAGACAAATGCTTGCGAAAGTTGCTTTACTTGACTGTAGTGATCATAATTGAAGGCCTATGTCAAAAGTAAAGCTAATATAATATGGAAGTAATTGATTACAATAGTATTACTTCTCAGTAGCTTTCTAAAGTGATGTCTGTCATATTTCTAGCCATAATTGCTCACAAAGATATCTAGTATTCAAGCCTACAGGGACTGATTGAAGTGCATTAGAGCTTGATGCTGAGTTTTTGAGATAGACTTGAAAATAATTGAATTTAACATCTGAAATTAAATGTGTTCTCAAGTTCTTCTCTATTTTTATTAGTATCATATTTCCCCAAAAATAGAACTGTAGTAATTATAGAATCTAGTGAAAGCTCTAATCGATTTCTTTTGTGTTTATTCTTAGAAGCCCGAGAAGACTTTGGATATTTTTAACATCACTTTGGCCAGACAGCAGGCTGAAGTGGAGGTAAGCTTTTTGTATCACATAACTGAGAGAACTTCAATAAGCTTAGACACCTTGTGTCTGATTTATGAATTGATCAAACTGTAATGGCTGGATCACATTTTGCGCTTTGTCTTGTGATCTCAAGTTGTTGCACAAATCCATAAAAAAGGACAACAATTTGAGATTCATTGGAACTATGCACAGTACAGTGCCTCTCAGCAGCTTGGTGCTGGCGTATGTTTGTTCCAGCAAGCCAAAAGGCCAAATTAGGCACATAATCGATAATTATACAGTAAGCAAAGGAATGTAGGGGGTTGAGGATTAGGCTGCCATGGTTCCAGAAGGTGCAGCACTGTGCCGTTAACTGTAAATTTACATATTCTGCACAATTTCTCTTATATTTCATTTCATTTATTTATTCATAAAGCACATTTAATAACAACAGGGAGTTGATCAAAGTGCTGTACAAAATAACAATTAAACAATGACATTAACAACAACAACAGGTAAGAAAATTAAAAGAAAATTAGGATAAAAGAATTGGCAACTCTCATACAGTTTCGAAAGCCAGAGTAAAAAAATGTGTTTTAAGATGCGATTTAAAAAGAGTAACAGTTGGGGCCTTTCTAATGTGGAGAGGTAGATCATTCCACATTTTTGGTGCCACAACCGCAAATACCCGATCTCCTCTGAACCATCCTAGACTTATGTAAGGTAAGGAGTAGATGATCACTTGATCGAAGGGCTCTAGAGGGCGTATAAAGTTGCAAAAGGTCAGACAAATAGTCTGGTGCCTGGCCATTTAGCACTTTATAAGTCAAAAGTAAGATTTTGAATTTAATTCTAAAACGCACTGGAAGCCAATGAAGGGAAGCAAGCACCGGAGTAATATGTTGGTGTTTCTTCACACGAGTCAAAAGGCGAGTTGCAGCATTCTGTACAAGTTGGAGCTGAGCCAAGCTGGACTGACTGACACCCACATATAGTGAATTGCAGTAATCCAGTTGAGATAAAACAAACGCATGAATTGCTCGTTCCAAGTTTTTAAAAGATAAAAAAGATCTCACTTTGGATAGGAGCCTTAATTTAAAAAAGGACCGCTGGACAACTGAATTAATTTGTTTCTCAAATGTAAGTTTGTTATCCAAGAAAACCCCCAGGTTTTTTTACATGCGTTTTAACAGCACATGTTAGGTTACATAAGTCCAAATCTGGCGCATTGAAATTACAGCTTGGTCCAAAAATAATTACCTCAGTTTTATCCTCATTGAAGGTAAGAAAATTTGAGGCCATTCAGGTTTTAATTTCGTCAAGACATTTGACTAGCGATTCCATGGGCGTGGAGGTGTTTCTATTAAACCAAAGATTAATCTGGGTGTCGTCGGCATAAGAGTGAAAGCAGATGTTATGCTTCCTAAAGATCAGGCCTAGGGGCAAAATATAGATTGAAAAAAGAATTGGGCCTAATACGGAACCCTGCGGGACACCGCAAGTAAAAGGAGCTGGGGAAGAAATAAAATCATCAAGGCTCACGGAAAAAGTCCTCTCGGAGAGGTACGACCTAAACCATTCCAAGGGGATACCTTTGATACCACATTGCTCCAAACGGGAGATCAGAATGCTGTGGTCAACAGTATGAAAGGCTGCAGTTAAGTCTAGGAGCAGGAGCACAGCTGGGTCTCCTGAGTCAGTGATTAATAAAATATCATTAAGTATTTTTAGGAGGGCAGTTTCTGTGCTGTGGTGGGTTTTGAAGCCTGACTGGAACTTCTCAAAAATATTATGACTATTTAGAAAGGTTTGGAGCTGCTCAAATACAATCCTTTCTAGAATTTTTGACAGAAACGGAAGCTTGGAAACAGGTCTAAAATTAGCAAGAACAGAAGAATCAAGGTTCGGTTTATTGGCTGCACTACAGCGTGCTTGTATCCAGTTGGTACTACTCCAGAACTGAGACTACTATTAAAAATAGTTAAAATGTCAGGACCGACTACCTTAATCATCTTTTTTAGAAAATGGGTTGGGCCTCCATCTGAGGGATAAATAATGCTAACAGATCATTTGTGGGCTGGTCAGGTTTTTTTCCTTGCCATCTTTCCTCAGAAAAGTGAAAAGGGGGAAGCATTTGACATTTTGTTTCATCTCCTTCTTTAGGCAAGTAAAGCAGGCCTGCGTATTTACCGTCCTGGGATGAAGATGGAGGAAGAAGAGTCTCAGGGTTGGATCAGCTGGATGTGGAACTGGGGGGCACAGCCTGATACAGAAAGAAAAGAAGTTAAGACTGGAGGTAGGTTACAGATAGACATGTACATGTGGAATGTCTTTGTAGTAACAGCCTGTAATATTAGCTTTTTTACTCCTCCTATGTACGTTCCATTTATTCTTCTTACCATCTCTGTGTCAGGGTTTGATGAGCTGTTAACCCCTGCTGAGAAAGCCAAACTCTACACTGCCATTGGATACAGCGAGACTGCTGCTAATCCCAACCTGCCAAAGGATGTGAGTCACTTTCCCCCACGACACCCCCTCAATTACTAATAATACACTTCCACTTGGTTATCTGTCGCACAGAAGCAAATATTACAATTGTAAAAAAAAACAAGTATTCTGTTACTTTATCTTTATACTCTTTGTGTCATATCTTTAAGTTTGAGAGCATGAAGGTCAACTTCCACATGGAGAAACTGTCCGTGTCAATCAAAGATGACAAGGACAAAAACGAGATCATCAGGCTGACTGTGGGAGAGCTGTACTCCACACTCACACAGAGACCTGGAGCACAAGCCATCAAGTTTGTTCCAGCCTTCTAAAACAAAATAACAACTTTGTAGCTGGTCTTTTTTCTCCACAAGGGTAGATGCTTGATAACACTAGCTTGTGTGTGTGTGTGTGTGTGTTGTTTGTTTTGTTTTTTTTCTTTTCTTCCCAGAATCACAGCCAAGCTTACTTTGTTTGAGGTCACTGGCCTCACCAATAAGCAACCTCCACCAATTCTCCTTTCATCAAGGAAGGCAGCCATAGGAGCAGGGACCCCACTGCTTTGTATCCTGTTTGAGACCAACCCCCTGGACAAGAGCGCTAACCAGCGGCTTCACGTAGAATCACAACCCTTGGAAATCATCTATGATGCTGTGAGTGGTTCACTGAGTGTGAATGAGCAGCAAAAATAAAAACTCTCAAAAGCAGTACGTATATACATATTTGACTCTGTGTGTCTGTGTAGATAACTGTGAACAGCATATCAGCGTTCTTCAGGCCTCCTGATGACATGCAGCTGGATGAGCTCACGAATGCAACCCTGATGAAACTGGAGCAGTTTAGAGACCGCACAGCCACTGGTGAGTTTAAGATAAACTGCAGATATCTGCTATCATGATTAATCTTCTAGGATCTCTAAGGACGTCTTTGATGGGCGAATGTTTACATTCCTTGTTTAGTCTTCCTGTTTATGTTCTTGAAAGTGATTGTTTCCTGAGGGCTTTGGAAGATTTTTCAAGGTTTTTTTTTCATTATTGAAGTTTTCTCCTTATTAGAACTTTTAGGTGAATTTGCCATTTAAACATTACTTAAATTAATAGAATCTCAGGGTTCATTAAACAAAACCACACATTTAGTTAATTTTATGAATCCCACAACAATAAGATTCACCCACCTTTGGAGACAAAACTACTATTGATGACCTATTAACATTTTATATTTCAGGTTTACTGTATGTGATTGAAACACAGAAGGTTCTCGACCTGAAGGTGAACTTGATGGCCTCCTACGTGATCATTCCACAGACCGGTTTTTACAATGGCACTCAGAACATCTTGCTGTTGGATCTTGGTAATTTCAAGGTGGGGAAGTGTCAAATGTGAATAAAGATTGACAGCAGGCTGGAAATCCAAGGTAACTTACCAATATATGCCTTCATGTTTCTGTGCTTTTACAGATGTCCAGTCAAAGCAGGAAACATCTACCTCAGCTGTGTGTGAGTTCCAGCAACATTGAGGACATCATGTCCAGAGCTTACGATAGCTTTGATGTACAACTTGAAAGCCTACAGTTTCTTTATAGCAAACCAGGTACACACACACAGACACAACACAGTTGTAACACATTTTTGACTGATACACATAATGTTGATTGATGAGGTGTTGTTTTTATTCTAACTACTGTTTAAAAATCACTAAGCTTAGGCTTTGTTTGTATTGATAGGTTTTACACAGCAAAAAAAAGTCATACAGACAGCATTGAGGAAATGTCTTTATGAAAGTGATTGGCACTTGTAGCTCTAATGGCTTTACTATGTCTTAGCAAAAAAATATTCCATTGATTTCAGGTATTGTGTCCTGGAAGGGATATTGCTAAACTTACACATTGATCCAACAGACATATTTCTTGCTTTTACTCTGCCTCTGTTTGGACTCAGTAAAAATAAATAATAATAAAACTTTATCTTTATGTGATAGATGGTAACTGGAAAAAGGCCCGCAAACAGAAACGGTCACCCCTCCACATCCTAGAGCCAGTGGATCTAAAGGTGGTTTTTAGCAGGGCAATGATCAACAAAGACTCCCGCATGCCAAAGTAAGTATGCTTCTGGTTGACAGTCAACTGATGGTTAAATGAAATCTTTGTACGAAAATCTGAACTTGCTCTTAACCCTTTTCTTTGGAGAAATTAATACTTTTCTTCCCCCCTGAAAAGTTTCACTGTAAAAAAAAAAAAAAGAAAAAAGAAAAGAGAAAAGACAGGAAAAAAAAGTGCAGTATTGAAGACGGATTCTAACACTAGTAAATATTCATAAATATAGTGCGGGTTCAGATACACAACTAAAAATATTTATCTTGTAAGGACCAGAGCTAAGAGTATTACGTAATCTTAAGTTTCAGGTTGTAAGTTTTGTTTGCATCTTTGTGTATGTGTTTTATAGATATAAGATGTCTGGAGAGCTTCCTCTGTTGTCTCTTCGTATTTCTGATGTAAAACTTCGAAGTGTTCTGGAGCTGGTGGACAGTATCCCGCTGCCTGAAAGCAAACCTGCTACACGTGGCAATGCTCCATCATCAACTCCAAAGGTAAGATCAGAGGGTTATGGAGATGGTCCTCTCTGGATTTCACTAAAATTTGGCAACAGTTGGGTGAACTGAATTATGATGATCGCTGCTATGAATGAGAAGAAAGCCTCAGCTGAGATGGTTCATTTTTTCCCCAATTTAAAAAAAAAAAAAAAAAAAAAAAGCAAAACAAGCAAACAAAAGAAAAACATCTCAAATTTGAAGGCTTGAGGGTTTTGCATTGAATGAATATACAAATAGTTGAATATTGAGGTGGAATTACCGGACTAGTAAAAGTAAAGATAGATTTTATTACTAACACTGTTAATACAACTGTTTTTATTTATGCTCTTTTTTTTTTTTAGCCTAGGCAGTCTTTCACCCCTCATCTCACTCCCAGAAAACCTCTGAACTTTGATCAGCGCTCTTCTCTCATTTTTGAGTCATGTGAGACCATCAGCATCACCTCATTAGGTAAGACACAGTTTTGTTTTGGTCCTACTGCTAAATATCTTTAAAAATCCTGTGTGTATTCCTACCACAGATTGTGTTTATTTTTTAATTATATCCCAGGGTCAGAGGAGGATCTGTTCTATGATGCGCCCAGCTCTCCCATCGGGGAGAAACCATTTTTTCCAGACAATCCCATGCCGCTGCGCTATGTCGATGCAAGCAAAAGAAAAAGTCTCATCAAGGAAGACGCACAAAAGAACATGACTGACTTCTTTATGACATTTGAGATCAGTGAGGTACAAAAATATTTTTTTCCCTTTCTGCACAATTAAACATAGTTATTAAATTCTGTAAGAATTATTTTTATTTAACCTTGTTATCAGTCATTTTAGTTATTTCTGTGTGAGATAAAAAGAAAAAGAAAATTCAAACTCTGCCTTTTCTCTTTAGCATTCCTCAGTTAAATTTCTCCACCTCCTTTTATTTTTGTGACCACCTTTATCATCATCTTTCCCATTTTTCCATCGTCTCTCTGTCTTCTTTGTCCAGTTTTCTGTTCAGCTCTGTCGTTTGTCTGGAAGTATGGAGGTTACGGTGCTCCACTTAGATATAGAGGGTCTGGGCACTGAGCTGAAGCTGCGCACCTTTGACATGACGTCTAATACCTACTTGCGAGAGATCTGCCTCAAGTGTCCTGAATACATGGGTCAGTAGATACCAGCAACGCCTTAATTTTTGTTAAACATTTGATGATTACAGTTATCCTAATAAAAATGTGCAAATCATCAGGGCAATCTTTGCTTAATTTTTTATTAGGCATGTTTTGTTTTTTCCTTGCACAGATTCTGAAGACAAGCAAGTGCAGCTGATCACCACACTGGACAACAAAGAAGTCGACCTGCTCACTCTGGAGTATATCAAAGTAATATGGGATACGTTACGTGAAAACATTTCAGAATATTTTCTATAAATATTTTAAAACTGTGGTAAATAACCTTAATATTAAAGATTGGATGAATTTTTCTAGGCTGACAAGAATGGTCCCGACTTCAAGTCTCAATATAATAACACTGAGCAGCTCATCAAGGTGAGGGAAATGTTAATAACCTAGCAATAATATTTATTTTATTTTCTTAATGTTCCCATTTTGTTATTTATAGCATGATGTTATTTAGGGCATGCTGAGAGATGATGAAAAAGGCCACAGTTAACAGCAGTGTTTCTTCTACAGTAATTATTATTAATGGGTAGAAGAATCAAAATATCATTTCAGACAAAAAGGTTAATTTTCTTCATCAGGTGACCTTTTCATCACTGGATGTTCACCTCCATACGGAGGCTCTCCTCAATACCATGAACTTCCTCAGTAAGCTCCTTCCTGAATCTAATAAGAAGGAAGGACAGCAGGAGGAGCTTCCCACTATCCCTGAGGAAGACGATGCTGAAGCAGAGAAGGAGGAAGAGAAAAAGGAGGAAACTGCTGTAACCAAGAAAAAACGTAACTGATATTATCTGCACGCTGTTATTGTCTCACCATTTATGAGAACATTGTACTACTAGAGCAGATATTTCACAGTTAATGAAACAGATTTTCAGAGCAGTATCAAAGGTTAAATGTTACATTGGAAATACATTTCCTTTTTTTGCAGCTGTTCACAGGTAATGTCTTTATTTCTTGTCCTTCACCTTTTTTCCCCAGCTTCAAAAAGGTCAAAATTTGCAGATGTGGTTAATCTGCATATCAAAACTGATCTCCGCTGCCTTAAAGTTTTCATTCGAGGACAGAAGGCCAGGATCTCAGAGATCAGTATTGAAGGTATGAAAGAAAGAGTTTTCTGTGTACTAGGTACTCTGGCAGTGCTTTCAATATGATTTATTAATTGTTTATTATTTCTGCTATACTCTGCTGTATATAGAGTTTTCTAATGAACTTTTTCTAGTAAAATCTTCAATTCACTGTACAACTTGGGGCTTTCGTAATTGTCTAGGTCTGGTTTCCGAGGTCCTGATGAGGAAGAAGGGGATGGAGGTTTCGGCCAAATTGAAGAACATTGTGATTCTGGACTGTAACAAAGAAGCTTTTTACAAAAAGGTACCGACTGCTAGTGCTTATGAATGTTTACCATTGTACTTAAAAAAACACACACAAAAGAAATGGTCATTGTTTCCCGCATTGATGTTTCTGGTCTTCATTTGTTATGTTTTTGTTTTGTGTCACTTGCTGATCATGTGGCACAGGCAAATCTGAATAACAACTTTTTCTGTGCCACTCTGTTTTTTCTAGGCTGTGTCCATAGCAGATAAGGAAGTGTTTCACTTCCACATGGTAAACTATACAGATGCGACTGAAGGAGACGCCTATCTGGACATGTCTAACATTGACACTACTGTTACATTAAGTGTGGGCTGCATTCAGGTCATCTTCCTCAACAAGTTTCTCTCATCTATACTGGTAAGAATCACGTTTCTGGGCAGAATTAATCTGTTGCTCTTATCAATTTTTATCACATGTAAAACTGAAGTGGTGTTTTAATTTATTAGATAAGGTAATAATAAAATTATAATTATAAATATAATTATTTACGTTACCTCTGTATATTTCTGCACTCCAACTTGATCTTATTAATTTTTCTCCAAAAATATTTTTCCCCACCCCATCTCCTTACAGGAGTTTGTCAATAACTTCCAGGAGGCTAAAGAGGCACTAACTGAGGTAACAGTTCAGGCTGCAGAAAAAGCAGCATCAGGCGTGAAAGAACTGGCTGAACGGACCACTCGGATCGCTCTTGATGTCCACTTCAATGCACCCATCATCTTCCTCCCCCAGTCCTCCTCTTCATCAAATGGCATTGTAGCTGACCTTGGTCTGCTTTCTATCAAAAATCGTTTTGCCAAGCAACCCTGTAAATCAGATGCCAGCATCCCACCTGTTGTGGATATAATGACTGTGAGACTGACTGACCTTAAGATGTTCAGGTCAGTTTCTGTGGGAGGTATTATTTAAAAAATATGCATGCTTGTGTTTGTGATTGATTAGAATTTGCAGTATTCCGACAGACCTTTGTAAATCTATGTTTTTGTTCCTTTCAGAGCCAAATTTAAAAATGAACGTTTTGAAGAAGAGATCCAACTGCTGAAGCCAGTGAGCCTAGACTTGGAAATCTGTAGAAATCTATCTTCCAGCTGGTACCACGAAATACCTGACATAGATATTGGGGTCCATCTAAAGCCCATGAGTGTAAGTATATATATTCATATATCTTACCTGTTTGTTTGTTTGTTTGTTTGTTTGTTTGTTTGTTTGTTTTTTGATTTTTAATCCCACGATTGTGTAGAGGCTTATATTGAGAATTAAAAATAGTTTTATCAAATTCATCTCTCTATGTTCCCAACAGCTGCTCCTATGCCAGAATGACATGATCATTGTCCTGAGGACTCTGAATGAGAACCTGTCAGAGAAGTCTGATGCTGGTCCACCTCCAGCTGCTCTGCCTGCCACTGACCCGTCCTCTGACTCTGTATCCAACAAAGACTCCCAGGAGTCTGGCACCACTGGACCACCCAGCAGTAAGTTGTTGTTGTTGTATATGGTTATGTTTGATATGGTTATGTGTGTTTGGTAGAGCTTTAAATATAGACATATGATTTAACAGCCTGGTCAGATAACTTTTTACCAAAAAAAACAACAGAAAACAAAAAACAGATGAGTTGTTGTTTGACAGGGCATACTTACACAAAACTATGTAGCTAATGAAATCTGAAACATGTTCTCCTTAATTAGTGCACAATTCTGACTAAAATCCAGTAGCTTGTATTTTAATCCGAACTCTGCGCTCTGATTATGCTGTTAATAGGTAACACAGTGGTGACAGCTGCTGTTGTAGAGACACAGAAAAACAGCAAGCTGAGAAAGAACACGCTGAAATTAAACTTCAAGTTTGACTCACTGACTGTGGTTCTGTACAGCTCCAATGAGGATAAGGTAATGCCAAGTCTGTTACATATGTACAAACATACACAAGTCATAACTACATCATAGAATTAGACTTGTCAGTCTGTATTTTGTGAGGCACGTTTAGTAAAGAAAGTCTGTGTAATTTCTGTTTTTAATAGCAGTTAGAACCACAACGTGAGCTGTCAGGCCCACATCATGACCAGTCACACCCACAACATGAGCCGTCAGACCCACATGATGAGCAGCTGAAGCTAGCAGAATTTACTCTGGGCACCATCTCCACCTCTGTCCACATGTACTCCGACAGCTCCATGAAGGCCTCAGTACAACTTGCTGAATGCCTTCTAGACGACAAGAGGCCAAAAGCCAAAAGTATCACCCCAAGGTACGGCTACCACTTATAAAGCTAGTGACACACACAAAAAAGCCATGTCTTGACGGATCAGTGTAAAGTAAATTATTTTATTGTGTTCACTCTTTTTTTTCTCATAGTCCTATTTTGTTTTTCTCTAGGATGATGGCAATGTGTCCTGGTGCAGAACAGAACAACATGGTGGAAGTGAGCTATCGTCAAACCCGTGAAGGCACCACTTTAGATACAGTGGTGCAGGATGTGTATCTATGTGCCAGCATGGAATTTCTGCTCACGGTGGCCGATATCTTCCTTAAGGCCACCCAGCAGGGTTTTGCCCAAGTGCCACAACCCAAGAACAGTACTGGTGCTGGCGATAAGAAGAACATTAACTCATCGGTCACATCTAAAGAGTCTGGTGAGTTGACTTTATCAGTTTTAATGTTTTAATCTAGTTAACCGAAATCATGTCAGTTCTCTTAATCGACAAGCTTAAACTGCCAAATTATTCCCATCTTTGTTTTGCCTTATGTTTATAAAACTTTCATTTTTGACTATTTCATTACAATACAACATTTTATAGATGCTTTAAGATAATATAGATGTTATATACGTTTATATAGTGAGTCTAGATTATGAGTTTTGTGATTATCAAGTTAAACTGGCGTATTCTAATTATTTAACGTGAAGTTTTACTCTAATGCTCTCTGTGCCTCCCAGCTACAGCTACAGCCACGGTAACAAAGACTGAAATGAATGTTGTGGTGCGAAACCCAGAGATTGTATTTGTAGCTGACCTGACTCGTGATGACGCCCCAGCTCTGGTGATGACCACATATTGTGAACTAGTAATGAAAAATGGTGCTGAAGGATCACGGACGACTGCTGTTATCAAGGACCTCAAGGTTTATATTTGGAATGTATTGTGGTAGTCAAAATTGCATGTTCAAAGAATTCAAAATTATGTATCCAGAGGAAAATGTTAATATTCCTTAACACATATTTAAAATTAAATATGATTAGTTTGGGGTTTTTTTGTTTAAACTGATCACTTTTGTTGTAGGTTGTTGCCTGTCCATTCTTAAGACAAAAGAGGAGAAACAATGTGACTACAGTGCTTCAGCCATGTCAGGTGTACTTCGAAAGTACTCAGTCTCCAACCTCCCCTCAGGCTATGGAGGTCACCATCAACGCTCTCTCACTTAAGGTATTTGTTTTGTTAATATTACATGTGGCCACATATTTTGTTCTTCAAATTGAAATGATTGTGTTTTTGTTGTAGTTCCAGCTTCTTTGTTGTTAGCAAATGAAAGCCTTTTTTAAAAAATGTGAACTTTTTGGGGTTAAACCACTGCCTTGTATGCATGCTTAATTAAATGAGACAGAAAGTCAATCCCTACATCTGGTTACAGCAGTGTGTTACCTTGGAAATACAGTTTTTTGATAAAAAAAACGTTTCAGACTTTTGTTTCCTTGTAATGGATATAATAAGGGGGCATATTATTGTTGCTCTAACAGGACTGTATCTGCACGTATGGATAAAAATTGTATCAAATGAAAGCAAATTTTAAAAGCAAGAAATTTATTTCTGTCGGGCAGAAACGCTTAACTTTAAGTAGCTTGCCCTACTACGCAGTCATTAGTTAAATATCTGGCGTAGCAACATGTCTCAACATCCAGTATGGGCTAGCTAGCTTAATTCTCAATAGACAGGAGTGTTTAGCTAACTTCTCCATCACTGGCGCAAGCTGGTTTTTTTTTTTTTTAGTTTTGTTTTGTTTTTTCCGCCTAATCCTGAACCTAAGTCTTCATCATAGGCCACAATGTCATGCCACTTAGCCATACAGCAATGTGTTTGGTGTGATTTGTCATTCCTGTAGGACCTGATTGACTTGGCTGCTGTTGCTGCTTGCCACGTCTTGTTTACTCTGAGAGCCAGGCTTATGCAAGTAACCTTAAGTTTTATCTCCCATGTGTCTGACTCATGCACAGGTATCTCCAGTCATAATCAACACCGTGATTACTATCCAGTCAGCACTCACTCCAACAGCAGAGACCCCTGAGAAGCTGGACAGCCCTGTTGCTGTGAACCTGTGGGATAAGCAGAGTTGGAAGGAGCTCAAACTCTGGTTCCTAGAAGAAGATGACGATGAAGACACCAAATTAGTGACCTGCTTAATACCTCAGGGAGAGTCCCTAAAGGTAATTATTAGCATGTTGGCTGAAATTATAATATGGTAAAGCTGACTGTATGCTGCCATATAATAACTTATAATTTGAATTTGCAAAATAATTGCAGGTGAACATCAGATCAATCTGTGTGACTCTGGAGGCTGGAGTGGGACATCGCACCATCCCCATGCTTCTGGCAAAGTCCTCCTTCAAGGGAGATGTGGAGAACTGGTCCACGCTCATTAACTTATACAGTCAGCTTACCCTAGAGGTAACACAAACCAATAGACATGTGGTTCTTTTAATAAATTGTCTGCTGTTCAGAATTTTTTTCTATTTAGTAATGCATTTTATTTTTAGGTTCACTATTATAATGAAGTGATGGGAGTGTGGGAGCCACTGCTGGAGCCCTTAGAAGATGAGACAAGAGATGGTTTCAGACCATGGGTGCTGGAACTGAAGGTACTCATGTATACTTGCATTCTGCGTGCATATAGCATTCTTAAAAATAATACTTAAAAATACACATGGTGTGTCTAATACTTTACTGTCCTCTAACCAGATGAAAAAGAAACCTGTGAAGTACACAGAAATGTCAGATGAAGTGGATTCCAATATCCCAGACTACAAGACAGTCATTCTCATCGACAGTAAAGATCAGCTCAACATCACACTTTCCAAATGTGGACTGGCTATGCTGAGTAACCTGGGCACTGTAAGAAGTCTTTCAAAGGCTTGACAGAAAATACCTGTCTAGAGGTGTGTATCGATGTGTGATATGCATGTTTTTGTCCTTCTCCAGGCATTTGCTGAAGCTGCCAAACAGACAGCAGAGTGTTTTCAAAAGGATGAAGCTCCATTTGTAGTCAAAAACCGTCTTGGCCTACCAGTTTCTGTGCGCCACAGTGAGATGTTTTGTCCTGTTGGACAGCAGAGTATCGCTAACACTGTGAAGCTGCAGAATGGCGAATCCCTCGGAATGGACTATTCAACCACAACAGACACTGATCATTTCTCAGCAATGACCTCTTTGAGTGGAAAAGACTATTACATACAGCCTAGTGAGTTATACTTTACTATCACGGTTATGCTGAAAACAGACAGCTATGATATATCTACAGTTATCTCCAACTACACAAAGATAAAACATAAAAATATATGTTTTATGTGTTTTCTTTAAATTTTCTAATTAGCTTGTGCTCTATTCTCTAAGAGTATATCTGACGGTGTTTGTTATTGTTGTTGTTGTTGTTGTTGTCAATCACCAAATTTTAAACTTCATGCCAGTCAGAAAGAGCCTGTACGTTCTATTTTCTTTCTTTTTCCAGCTCCAGATGGTCACACCTCAGCCAGTGTGATCCCTTTGATCAAAGTGGGCCGTGGAATGTACAGTGTAATGCACAACAACTCAGGAGTCACTCGTTTCCTGGTCTGTCAGATTTCCTCTGTAGAAGGCAGCAAGTACATCAAGATCCGCTCTCCTTTCCAGGTATGTAGGATGATCATTCCCATCATGTGTATATCATCTCGTGTAATTACAGTGAGCTGTCTCTCAAATTACATTAATTACAAACTCAGTGTAATTAAAGTTACCTTTTTATATAAAAGTCATTTAAAAAAACGTTCTTTTCAAAATGCACTCCAGCTTTTTGTTTGGGGGTAGCTGCTGCTGATATCCATGTTAATAAACATTTTATTAGGTACACCATGCTAGTACCAGGTTGGTCCCTCTGTTTCGCTTCATAAATACCTTAATATTGGAACAGATTCAACAAGGTGCTCGAAAGAGTCCTCTAAAATTTTGGTCCATATTGTTTGAGATGATTTGAACTTTGGACATGGCACATTATCCTGGTGGAACTTGCACCCAGTATGGTCTTCTGGTGCTGTGGCCCATCTGCTTCAAGGTTTAGCGTGGCTGCATTTAGAGATGCTGTTTGCATATCTTACCTGTATCAAGTTGTCTGAGCTACTGTTGCCTTGAAGCAGTCTGACCCCATTCTCCTCTGACCTCTGACATCAACAAGGCACCTTTGCCCAGGGAACTTTCTTTTCTACACCTCATCTGTAAACCCTGGAGATGGCTGTGTGGGCAACATTTCACATTTGAAATTTATAAAAAAAAAAAAAAAAAAGTGTGTGTGTGTATATATATATATATGAGAGAGAGATAAGTATAATCTTGTTCTGGTCATGTTCAGTGGTTTTGATTTTTTTTGTCTGTCTCTTCCTCTTACAAATGGTTTGATTACCTCTTCAGCATGCCATCGTGTTTGGCAAAGGCCTGATAACAAGCCATTCATTTGATTCAGCTGTGTTGGAGTAGGGATGCATCTAAAAGCTGCAGGATAGTAGCTGTAGTAGCTCTCGAGGACTGGGATTGGGCAGCCCTGATTTAGTGGCTCCACAGTGAAGTCTTTGTCTCTTAGTTTTTCACTATCAAGCGAAAGATCCTCTTTTCAATCCCGGGAGGAGACACAAATGCCTTTGGGGTTGCATCAGGAAGCATATTCAGTTTAGAAATCTCCTAAATTAAGCCTAGGAAGCTACCCACTGTGGGAACTCCCAATAAGTAGCTTTTAGTATATAAGCCAATATGCCCAGATAGATCTCTCAGATTAAGTTCAAGTGTCAGTAACCAGTAATTTGTTTTTGTTTTTTACTACGCAGCTCATCAATCATTTCTCAATACCATTCAACGTTTTTGAAGGACCAACCCTTCTGGGTACTGCCCTCCCTGCCGAGGAGTTCTGTGTGCCTCTGGACTCGTATAGGTAGGAGCAAATGCTTAAATTGGCCCACATATTTACGCACACAACTTAACTCACTCACTCTCTGTTTTATGTTTCCAGATCTTTTCTGTTTCTGTTCAACAACAAAAAACAATAACCTCTAACCTTTACTGCCCTTACCCTCCAAACAGGTCTGAGCTGAGCCTTCAGCCAGTAATAGAGAGCACAGATGATAGTCAGGGTGAGCAGTATGATTGCTCAGAAGGCTTCAGTTACGAGGACATTAACAACCTGGAGCCTGAGAAACGCCTACAGCAAATCTGCCGTCGCCGTGGAAACCAAGGTGGTGTGATGACCATCAACATTGTGCCATTAAAAGATGCAGTGACGTGCAAAGAGACCGGAGATGTTGGGGAGAATTTTGACGTGCCCTTCGTGCTTCACTTGTGGCCTTCCATCCTGCTACGCAACCTTCTGCCTTACACCATCACCTACAGTCTAAAGGTAGGATGCATGTAATAATCTGTACTCAGCTAGTCCATTAAACGTTGAAAAGTAACATACAAGGTGGGTTTATGTGAGTAAATGTTCAATAAAATAATAGTGTGTGTATTTTACAGCTGTATTTGCTCTGTTTAAAAGTGGGAAGTGTTCTTTGTTATGTAATGCTACCATAGGACCTCAGTCAGAGACCAGCACATTCACATTACTTAGGCATATGTGGATAATACTGCTTTATGTGTTGGATGTTTGTACTTTTATCATTAGTTTTTTTTAAAGCAAGGATTGCTCTGCATGACTTTACTTAATTTTGTAACTGTTTAAACATTAATGCAGACCTTCCCAAAGTGTGGGGCCTGCCCCTTAGGGGGGGCGCAGAGCCATTGCAGGGGGGGCGCGGTATGGGGCGCCTACACAAACGCAAAGCAGGAGATGAAGCATCGCTGAATATGTTTCCAAACCAACTTCATTCTAAGCCAAAGACTAGAAAATATGGTGAAGCATATCTGCCCTTTGGTTTCACCTGCATAAGTGCCGAGGTAGGTCTCCCCTGCAGAATTGGTTTTCCCTGCGTCAGGAGTAGCGCTGGGCTGTTTAAATCATGGACAAACAGAATCCCACATTCTTGATTTTTAGTTCACAAACACTTCTCATAATGACTAACTACTCCTGGCATTTTGGAGATGTTAGCTCTTTATGCAGTAAAGTTACTGAGGGATACAAATAACATCAGGCTGATCCTGCCAGGATTTATTCCCTGGTTCAAATCACGGACAAACAGTATCCCACAGCTGTTTATGTTTTTAAACCCATTTTGCACAGAGAGGCATTTTTGGAAAAATGTATTGATAGCAATGTTGAATATTAAAACACATAAAATAAAACTACACGTAAAATAATTACACCGTGATGCCTCTGCCTTTCTAAATGGAGGGACAGTAACTGCGTGTGTATGTAAGCGTGTAAAACCTGCAGATTGTCAGATTAACAGTATTTTGTCTCTATCTGCCATTCTGCTATTCATCTCATGTAAACAATAACGTCGCGCACAGCGTGACGTGAATAAAGGCACATACCTTTGACGTTGCATGACGAACTCTGTATTCCTCGTCCACACGTAAACGCAAAAAAGGAGTTTTAAAAAAAATCTCAGTTTTCGGTGATTCGAAACGCCGTTTACGTGTGGACGAAACAGCTGCGTGTTCAAAAATACCCGTGTAGGTGTGGACGTAGCATAACAGAGTAAGTAGTTTATTTTATTACTACCTGTAATTTATTGCAGATTACTTGTATTTGCTTAATTGTTTACTAAATGTTTGAGGTGTGAAATAAACCGCAATGAAGCAAAATATGGGTGTGTGTGGTTGGAGGGTGTGTTTGTGCGCGTGCGTGCGCGAACATTTTTCTTGTAAAACAAGGGGGGCCTAGCAAAAGAAGTTTGGGAACCACTGCATTAAGGCAAGATACAACAGCAAATATCTAGTGTGTATTTAACACCTCATTTGTAGACTTCTGTAACATTAAGCTGCAGAAGACTAGTTATATATGACATTTTCAGCTTCCTACATGGTAACTTGAAGTAAATATATTCATTCCATTAATCCAAAATAGGAAAAAAATCTGTTGACTCTATGCAGTAAAAAAAAAACCCAAAAAACAAGCAATAGTTAATAAACCTAGTTTTGTCCAATGCTGGCATTTCTGTTTAGAAATTTTAACTGAAAGATAAGAAAATTCACTCACATTTAGATATTTAAAATGTCTCATTTTATACTTGAAAAAAATATAGCAAAAATGTGTAATATGGAACTCTGTTATCTTAATTTAAGTAACTGGGGACTTCTTTTTTTTTCCCAACCATTGTATTTTCTTTACAAGTTGGCATGAACTGAAAGCAGCAAGGTAGAAGTTTCAAATGCAGAGACACCTTTTGTTTTCTTCATCCTGTTGCTCAACAGAACAGTGGAATCTCTGCACCTGAGGCTACTTTGGACCCTGGTCACTCTGCTCAGCTTCACACTGGAGTCATCAACCAGTCAAGTCTTGATCTTCGTTTGATTGAGTACTTGGCTCAGGATTGGTCTTCTGTATATAGGTGTGACTTAATCTCTTTTTTTGTTATTGACACATTTTTTCTATTTATTGTATGTTGATCTTAAATAACATGACAAAAAAATGCTGATGCATAGTTATATTTATAGGAGAGACATGCAGTCTCCATTAAATTGTTTCACATTTCTGATACAAACAAACAATTATTGTCTTGTACAGACTCAACAGTGATCAGGAAGAGATCACCTTCATTGTGTTCAAGTCTCTAAGAGAGGATGCAGACGAAGATGGAGATGCAGTGGAGAGGAAGAGGGCTGAGCTGGATATAGCAGTTCATGTTAAATATGATCTGGGGCAGATGGTGGTTGCTATCCATTCACCGTACTGGATGATAAATAAGACGGACAGGTTGTTGCAGTACAAGGCTGATGACATTCACCGCAAACATCCCATGGACTACAAGATGCCGTTGCTCTTTTCATTCAAGCCTCGGTACTTCTTGCGAAACAATAAGGTATTTATTTTAAGTCAGTCTTACTGAAAGCTCTTTAAAAGAAACATGTTTGATTATTGTTCACAGTGGTCCCAGTGGTTCAGTACATTTATTAGATTAAATTATTTCCTCCCCCAGGTTCGTCTTATGATCTCAGAAAGTGAACTATCTGATGAATTCTCTCTGGACACAGTTGGGAGCCACGGGGATGTGAAATGCAAAGGCAGATTCAAAGATTATCTGGTAAGATTTGAAATTTTATCTCTTTATATAAAAATGTGAAAAAAATATGTAGGTTGGCGAAGAAAAAGTGGGATAGTCAGGGATTGGCTCTGAGCCGCTTCTTGTTTGCACTGGAGATGGACAGGTTGACAGATGAGGTCAGGCAGGAGTTGGCGTGGACTGTGATGTTTGCAGATGGCATTTTGATCTACAATGAGAGTAGGGAAGAGGTGGAAGCATGCTATGGAGAGAAGAGGAATGATAGTCAGTGGGAGAAAGACAAAATACATTTGTGTGGATGAGAGGAAGACAGGTGGAATGGTGAAAATGTTGAGAGGGAAAGTAGATGAGGGATAGGGTGAGATGGAGGCAGAGGATCCAAAGAGGCAGGTGTATTGGATATGTACTTTTTTTGTATTCATGTAATATGTCTGTCTTATTCTCTGTCTTATTTCAGGTCGGTGTGAAGATCGATGCAAGCAGTTTCAGTCTGACCCGCATTGTGACCTTTGTGCCCTTCTACATGCTGGTCAACAGAACTAAGCACAGTGTGTTCATATGCGAAGACGGGCAAGAAACTTGGACTGAGGCAAAACCAGAAGAGGTCAGAGCCTGTTCAGATTTTTCTCTTTTTGAACAATGCAGGTTAAGGTCTTGGTTTTGGTTTGAGTATATCATAGACACAAGATCCTGGGTATTCTTACATTTAACTTTATAAATAGGTGTGATGTAACAACTGAACATGTGTGCTGATTGATTTCTATAAATTTAATGTGACTAAAGGTTTCTTGTGCATAAAAATGCTTTATTTAAAGATCATGTCTTGATAAAGTTTTAAAATGTATTTACCTACTGATAATCTGACAAGAAGCATTTAGCATATTGTTTTTTTTCCCTCACATTTAGTCAGCCATCCCTTTCTGGCCTGAGAGTGACACTAAGAAGCTTAAAATTAAAGTAGAAGCTTCCTTATCGCCTCCAGTGACTATCGACTTCAAACGACCAGAGAACTGCTTATTGCTACATCTGGACAACAAAGTAAGCAGAAATGCACATAGTTAATAATATTTGTGTGTGCATATAAGTTTGTTTTTGTTTGTTTGTTTGTTTTTTTACATAATGTGTAATTGAGGTGATTAACATGATTTTCACACACATGCCTTTTGTATTACGGCTTTCAGACTGTTGCTTGTTTCTTTTGTGTAGGCGGGTGGGATTATAGTAGACATGAATCTGTCGGAACACTCGGCCACTATTCAATTTTCTGACTACCATGATGGCGCAGCCCCTTTCCTCATCATCAACCACACTAAAAGTCAGACTCTTCAGTTCCATCAGAGGTGAGAGAACCAAGGGGCACAGTTAAAAGGAAATATAGAAAATGTTTTAGGTTTGTTTTTTTTAGGTTTCACTAACAGCAATTGTTTGCAGAAAAGTTGGTGTTTTCCATTCAGACCATTTGCAACCATAACAGCTTACTAGTGAACAAAGCAATCACAACGTGGGTATTTGTTGAGCACTATCTTTGCAACTGATTTCACTCAGCTACAGCCAATAACCTCCATCAACCATTTGTCAACCGGTTGTCCTTAGCAACTAGGGGTTGCCAGAGGGTTGCAAACTGGCCTCTAGGCCCCTGTCACTGAGGTTTAAACTGTTTTTATGAAATTCTGTTTCCTAGGGACTTTCAGTGTTTAGTTAAAGTGTTTTTTAAAAAAAATATTCTGACATACTGTTTGTTAGCATTAGTGTAGATCTTTGGTGTTGTCTGTAACTGTGTTTTTGAAATACTTTCAAAATGCAAAATGTTTCTTTTCAGTTAGATTTTTTTTGTGTGTGCCACATTCACCCTAATATTAGGTGCTCTATCCAGAAGTAGGATATTTTTGTGGCAAATGTACTTATAAAACCTTTTCTTAGTGTTCTAGTTATTTCTGTCTCTTGTTTTTATCCGTTTTATGAACAGCAGCCATTAATTTTACAGGTTTCGTCACGCAAAACATTTCCATTTCCATGTTTTATTGACATGTGTCTTTGCATATTTGTTGAGTAACAATATTGTTCTTCTGTTCCAGTTGCCTCAAACAGTTAAGTTAATAATAATTGCCTGTGATTATTTTTGCTGATAGCAGTTTGTTTGTGTGTTGTGGGTCATGCAGTGTCCGGACAGAATCCTCGTGGGTGGCTGACGAGATACTTGACCTCTCCTTCTCAGTGGAGGAGGACAGGTAGAAAATATGAAAAAGGGAAACTCCTCTGACAAACTCTGAACTCAAAATAAAGATAGAAATGAGGAACAGGAATTACAAAAGAGAACCATCAGTGTAGCTACATTGTCATCACCAGAGAAAAGTTATTTCCTATAGGAAGTAATCAGTCTAGTAAACTTTGACAAAGGTAAAAGAAAAACAATTTAAACACACATCAGTACATTTGGTTATTTAAACTGCACTATGAGTAACGCATGGGTGGTTTCATATTAGCTCCCACAGGATCATCTAAGCTTTGCCTAAAAAAATCCAGTGGAAAGAGTTTAGCAAAACCTCAAGTCTATCATTAGTTAAAAAAATAGAAGAAGGTAGGGGTGTTTTTAGACATTTTTCTAACATCATTTTTTGAAGGCTCGGTTTAAAATGCCATCGTCTAGAAAAATAATTGAGCTAGGTCTTTGAAAAATTTCGGACTCATTATCTGGTACCGTGGCTCTTTGCATGTTGACTTGTAGGAGCGTAGCTCAGGTTAACATAGAATGATGAATACCTGATGTTCCAAAAATATTTAGGTGTCTGATCTCTGGCAGCAGATTTCGAGACCTATAGAAACCACAGTTTTGTAGGTGTGGGACTTCAAATTTCTTTATAGCGTCTCTTATACAATTCACATAAGTAAGTAAAACAGTGGGTATATAAAAAAATGAAAGAGGGAATGTGGGCGAAGCCAAGAGGAAGGATCAAGTATATCACGAAGATGTCTCCAATCATTAACCAGAGTTAACTAAATATGCAAACGATGCAGCAGCTAATCATGGTTTGTTCTCGATGTTACTTTAATGGTTCATTTGAGTGCAGAGTGTGGTCAGATGGACGAGTGTAGATAAACCGAAGTATAAAAAAGATCCTTTGAGCTCTGATTCTAGTTTGCCTCTGTACTCTGCTCCCTTAACTAAAGTTATATTAGTTGTATTTAGGAATCACTGTACTTTCAATATTTCCTTTTAGTGTATATCATGGCCTACTTCTGCCATATTCAAACTCTGTTTTTTAAGTACAGTGGAACCCCGACTTACGAAATTAATTCGTTCCCAAGGGTAAGTCGTAAGTCAAAAATTTTCGTAAGTCGAAGCACCCATTGCGCCTTTTGAGTGAGGCGATGCTGAACGATAGGCTAATTGCTAACTAGAACAACAATACGTCATTCAAGTGGAACAGCGAAGCGCAAGTACGGAAGCCAAGGGGTTGTCACATGATTCGGAAGGCATTGTGGGCATTGTAGGCTCAGCCAATCAGAGCCAGCGGATTTCGTAACACGGGCAGAAATATTGCCGTTCAGTGCCTTCGTAACTTGAATTTTTCGTGGAACGGGGTATTCGTAAGTCGGGGTTCCACTGTACATAACATAATGCCACTGACTGTCACAGTTTCAGTTTTCTATTTATAAAAGACCTACACCATTACCCATTTATTTTTTTTACTGATCTACCGGAAATTTACACAGATCTAAAGGAGCAGAATACAAATCTTAAGCCATTTACTCAGTGTTGCTTTCATCTGTGTTATGATCTTATAGAAAAATGTGAATGCTGCTGACTGGATGGGATTCCTCCAAAGGAATCACACCACCTGCTTCTTCCTGTAGTGCTGTCGACTAGTGCTTTCTTCCTTCAGTCTTCATTTTATGATCCATTGAAGATTTGTTTCAGAATCCTCACTAATATGTGAACGTGCATATTTGAGCCTTTTATTTCCAGGAATTTGGGGACCTCTGGGTGACATATTTCTGTCTTTTGATGAAAATTGCTGCTGCAGGCTGAGAGACAACTCAGAGAAAATGATTGCTGGCATGGTCCTTGATTGTGGTGGAGGGGCTCTGTTGTATTTTCAAAGTCAATAATTGTTTTGCTTTGTTTCATTTTTGGTAGCTTTAACTCATGTTGCTGATACATACGGCATGTGTCTGTCTTGGTGGGTTTGTGTACATGCAGCTCTCAGAAAAAGGCGGAGCATGAGGAGCTGGAGGCTGGGAAAGCTGTGTACTACACCTGGACTGAGCCCACTGGGTCACGAGCGCTCTCCTGGAAATGCAGCACTTACTCTGGGACACTAAAGAGTGAAGAGGTACTGCACGTGTCAGAATAATAACTGTCTGAATAATAATGTTTATCAGTAATCCTTTTTTCCCCAAAAACAAATATCTTACATTTCCCAAATAAAATCAGTTTCTGCTGAACGTATTTTTAAAAAAAAAGCAGTATTTGCTGTCTTAGGTATAAATTTGCTTAGGCTGGCTTTACTTTAAGATTTGCATATTAAAAGTCTATCATAGGTTCATTCATAAATGAAATCCTGAGGGGGAAAAAAGGCTGTACTGTTTGCGAAAGCAGGTAATTATAATGAGCTTACTGAATGTGAACCTGCTGGTTTTTAGATACCCCGTGACTGCTGAGACTTTTTGCACCTATCCATGTACTTCACACCTTACAGTAACCCGTGAATATATATAGATAATATATATTTTAAGTGTGAGGTCTTTAAAGTAGTATCACCTTTGCAAATTCATTGTTAATAACTGTAAATATGTTATTGGTGGTGATGAATCGTTCATAAATTTGATTACCTTTAGTTTAAAACTGTATAGATACAGATCATGTAAATCTGGATCATCCATCCATCTTCTTCCGCTTTATCCGTTGCCGGGTCCCGGGGGCAGCAGACTAAGCAGAGAAGCCCGGACCTCCCTCTCCCCAGCCACCTCCTCCAGCTTATCCGGGGGAACACCAAGGCGTTCCCAGGCCAGCCGAGAGATATAATCTCTCCAGCGTGTCCTGGGTCTGCCCCGGGGCCTCCTCCCGGTGGGACATGCCCG